CGAGAAGTGTGGGGCTCGTCCCTGTGCCAAGATAGGCTGGGCTGCTCCCCACCTGGGCTGTGAGACTCAGCAACAATAAGACTTTTGGGAATCTCTTTCAAGCTCTTGTTTATATATCATCCCAAAGTCAATCTAAACATGCCTGCGTACACACGTAAAGCAAAATAAAATGCATTACAGTAATGATAATCTGTTATGAAGGAAGTAATAAATCTCCTTTGGATGTAAATGATGATTAAGAGGAGTTTGAAATAATGTGAAGAAATAAATGCTTATGCTGCAATTTTAATTTTTAAAAGGCCAGGTTACATATAAAATATCTCAAAAATATTTTAAGATATATGAATAAAGACTGGAAGCAGTAGATCAAAGTTAATAATTTTTTGGCATTTTGAATGATTGAAAATATACCCTTAAAACTATTCTTTATGTACTTTTCAGTATTTCTCCAACATTATAAGGAGCACATAATCAGATAAAAAGAGTTATAAAGAGAACCCCTCCTAGATATAGAAGAGCAGTGTTTTGCTGAAAGTTCTCTTAGCAAATACTTTTTATTCCATAATTTGGAAATGTCTAAGCATGGAAAAGTCTGTTGAGAATTCACCTCTTGTGATCCTTTGTTCAGCTGGGCCAGGTTTCTGTCCTCTTCCTGAGGTAGGCGCAGCTTTGCCTGCCCTCGCAGGCTCTGTGTTGGACATGCCATAGAGCAGGCGTCTTTTCCTCCCCATCTGCCAGGATTGGACTGCGATAAACAGACCGTTACCAAGAAGGTGCACGGTTCCACGTGGAGGAATGGGTGGATGCATTTTTAACCCTGTACTGGGGTGAATGGATCAGAAACTGTAACTTCATATCTGAAGCACCTCATGTTTTGCCTTGTGCATATTAACTTTAAGTCTCTGGATATTTTCTTAACATTCCCAGTAAGTTAGTAGCCAGTTGTTAGCCAGTTTTGTGTTTTCCCTAAAGAGTAGTTGTAACAAGCATTTTTTTTTTTAAAGAACACAAGGGCCCAGTGATCTGGAAGCTAGCCATAAACTCTGGGTGGGACCCCTGACAAGAGTTGGGAGGAGGAGGTCTTGGGGAAGCAGAGCCTGGTACCTGGAGGACATTGTGGTCCAGGCTGGTGGTGTGGACAGGTGGTGAAGAAACAGAAGTGCTCAGATTTGGAGGGGATGCGTGGGTTTGCAATATGGATCTCTGTGGGTACTGACTCTGATTGCTGGGACCACTGTTGATGACAAGGCAGAGACCTATTTAGAGGACTGGGGGCGGGGGACAAGTGGGTTCTGGAATAGTCAGCTTCTGTAATGGGGGCATAAGGTCAGAGCAGTCCTGGCAACAAGGATGAGTTGGTGCCAAGTCATGTGTCCTGCTAACAAGGATTCTCTAAATTCCTCCCTGTTAGAGCTATGACTGTTCTGATACATGGAGCAAGGCTGGCCTTTGCCCAAGGATCAGGTGGCTTCTGGCTTCTGGCTGGGGGCCCTAGAAAGGTTTGAAGTTAGGGAGCTGAACCCTTTGTTCTCCATGCCAGGATCTCCTGACCCATGGTTGCAGTGTGTGTACAGCCTCATTCATTGATTTTTACTGCAAGTATTTTGTGAACCCTTGTTTCCTGGGTTCTGCGGCAGGATCTGAAGGTACTGCAGTGAGCAAGACATATACAGGGGCCCTGCCCTCATGAAGCTGAGGATCTAGTGGGAAAGGTAGTTAACAAGTAAACACAGCAGGTTGCCACCACCAAAAACAAACCACTGCAAAATAATTCATCATTTCGATTCATCGTGTGAAGAATGAACAGGCGATGAAAGAGTAGCAGGTACCTTTTCAGGGAAGATGATCGGCAAAGATCGTTCTATCAAGGTGACATTTGAGCTGAGATCTAAAGAATAAAATGGGCCAAGAATGCGAACGTTGGGGAAGGATCATTTCAGGCAGTTAGGGCAAGTGCAAAGGCCCAACATGTGAAGGGTGATGTGTGTGAAAACAGAAGAGACCAATGGGCTGGAGCTTGGAGGGACGGGGAATGAGTGGCTGGATGAGGTCGTATTTGAAGAAAGCAAACAAAGGGAAATCCAGCTTTTAAAATTTAACGGCGCCTTAAAAAACAAAACAAAACTCTAGATTTAAGATTAAATTGCCCTCAATTGTGCAAAGCTAACTACATAATAACAGCTGTTTGGTTCTTTCTACTTTTTTACATATTATAAAATATATTCCTTTTTATTTTAGTGCTTTTTATACTTTATGATTTGTTAACATCTTTGTAAAACTTAGATCATGTCACTCCTCATAGTGGCCCAGTGTCTTCCGAGCTCACTCACAGCAGAGTCTGAAATCTTAGCCATGATACTCATTCTCCACCTCTCCGGCCGCCTCCCCTCAGCCTCCCCTGGCTTCCTGGGCTCCAGCCTCCTTGCTGTTCCTTGAACACAGCAAGAGCTGTACCCCCACCCCCAAGACCTTTGTACTTACTATTCCCTATTCCTGAAACTAACTTCTATCCTATAGTCAGTCACGTGTCCCACCCCCAACCCTCCTTCAGGGACATTTTCTTTTGCTCAAATCTCGTGTTAGCAGAGAGGCCTTCTTTCACTGCTTATCTCTGGTAGTACCTTCCCTCTATCACTCATCATCCCATTACTCTGCTTCACTCTTCTTGGCACTTATCACCACTGGAAATATATTTGTATTTTAGTTTGTTAATTGGCTATTCAACCCCTCCCTAAGAAAGTGGGACTTTTTTTTCTTCACTGCTTTTTTTCCCCCTGACAGCCAGAATAAGTTCTGACACATAGTAGGTAGACGGTGATTACTTGTTAATATTTGTTGAATTTGAATGTCTGTTTCCCTTACTGATGTGTGAGTCCTTAGAAGACAGACGTTCGTTCATCTTTGCATCCCCTTGTGCCCAGCACAGAGCCAGCACCTGGCGTTCCTCCATAAACTGGCCGAAAGAATGTGTGGACGTAGACATGGCCTGTGCCAAGTTCTCTGTCCTGATGATAGTTTTTTTCTAGTGAATCACTGCTTATAAAGAGCTACCTAGAGTTTTATACAGAAGTAAATGTTAACTTGGTAACTTTCTTTCGTTTCTTCTTTTCCAGCGGTCCTAACCGTGGGCATTACATCACTATTGTGAAAAGTCACGGCTTCTGGCTTTTGTTCGATGACGACATTGTAGAGGTCGGTATGCAGAGCGTTCTACAGTAGGGGCAAAGCGTGCTTGGTGCTTTGGGGTGTACATGTGGACGTTTTCTCAATGGGCCCGTTTTTCCGTAATCTGACTTGAAAATGTCTTATATCTCAAAACTACATCTGCTCTCCATTCTCTATGGAAAGCGAGAAGGGGTGTGATCATGGACTCATTAATATGGTGTTCTTGTTAACTGCTCAGCCATAGACATGGGATCTCTGTGCCACCATAAGTCACTGAGGTAGAATTAACTGCGATCAGATTGTTTTATGTCCCATTTCCTAACAAGAATAAAGCCTTTTCTGGTACATACCAAATGATAAACTTCAAACTTATGTTAAAATTCTCTCGTTATACCAAATTTTTCTTGTGTTGGTATTATGTAAAAATTTTTCAGTCTGTTGGACCTGGAAATCTTTATAGTACACCACAGTATTCCATATATTGATTTGTTGTAAAGGAATACTAGCTGGATTGCATTCCATACTCAGAGGCATAGTCCGTGTGTCGGCCCGCTAGGGTGACAACTAAAGGGAATGACCTCCAAAAGAATCAGGGTTATTCCCCAGTTTACCGTTTGAAAGACAGAGTCCCGGCTTAAAAGAGCACCCACATGTGGCTGCTGATAGATTAAAAGGTGGCTTTCTTCTCCCAAAGATTTGCAATTTATGTAATCATGTTTCTCTGCCAAGTTGGTGGAATTATCCATTTGCAATTCAAAGTTCCCAATTGTGATTTTATAGTCAACAGTGTTTCTTACATTTTCCTTTGCTTCAATTAGTTTTTCTTTCCTTCTACTAATAATCATGTTAAACAAATATATTGTGTTATTTTTCTTTTATTGCAGAAAATTGATGCCCAAGCTATTGAAGAATTCTATGGCCTGACGTCAGATATATCAAAAAATTCAGAATCTGGATATATTTTATTCTATCAGTCAAGAGAATAACTCGGAGAACTGTGGGACGAAGTCAAGTGGGGGAAAATGTTCAAAGCACTATTCCCTGGTTTCTCTGCAGACTTTCTTCTTCCCCAGCAGATCACCAGTGGTATTACTCCAAGTCTCAGTGGTCTGGCTGCATTAGACTCTCCCTTTGTTTTTTTACATGCAGCACTATTTGTGGTTTTATTTTAGTCTGAGGTAGAATTAACTGCGATCAGATTGTAGTAAGATTTATATGAATAACAGTTGCTAATTTTAGGGTTGGGTAAATGTTGTGCCACTGGCTATGTCTGGCCGAATTCGAATGACACTGCCTACAAATGTCTGTGGTCTATTTTGGGTCTTTGCTAAACTTCCTAAATGGCTTCCAGGGTCTCCTTTCAATGCATTCCTTTAACTTGTCCCTGGAAACATTAGCTTCTTTGCCTCTTACCTGATAGAAGAATTGGGTACATGTTCATTTTTTAGGGCTGCAACTATAGCTTTAAGTGTGTGCAAGTGAAAATGTTTAAAAGTGAGTAAACTCTATACTAAAATCATCCTCCAGCTGGAATCGAGTGAAGAGCTGTTCATGGTGGCTCGTGTCTGACCCGGGCTGTGCTCACCTAGCTGTTAGAATTCCCGGGCCAGAGAAGGTAGGGAGCTCCGGACAGGCAAAGCTGAGAGTAGGAAGCTTTTACAGACAGTGAAAAGTTACTTTTTTAATCTTTCTACCAAAACCAAGTTTCAGGAAAATAACTCTAATGTTTGTTTTTAGTGACACTTTCTTCTGTAAGGTCCTGTGAATTGTATCTACCCTTTATCTGGCATTGATTGTTAAGCTTCCCAAGACATCTCTCCAGACACGCTGGTGTTTCGCGGTCCGTGGCCACAGGGTTCGGGCACCGTGGTGACCGCCGCCAGCGCAGCCCTCCTTAGCCGGTTGGTACCAACATCGCTTTTGTCAGGAAGGACGAAGGCTCTGCACCTTTACCGTCAACCTCATTGTACAGCCGTTCACTTTTTAACATTTCAGTCTGTTCACTGAGGCACTGGCAAGGCCTAGGGCTAGTGTGGAACCTTCCCTGGAGGGAGTGCTGGAGGGGGCTGGGTGCGAAGCTGGGTCGAAGGAGGCGGCAGTGCGCGCCGAGTCAAAGAGACCGAGGGCTGCTTAGGCTCAGGCTCCTAGAATGCTTGACAAGACAGTTTTTTGGAAGAACCTCATCTCACCATAGTTACTTTGACTTTTTTCACTTTTGTTATATACATATTTATTAGATCATTTGAGTATTGGTACCTTTTATTAAAAGGGTCGATGTGGTGTTTTGCCTTTGAGCTGGTTTTTGGTTTCCTACAAATACTCTGAGTCATAGACCTTCCTTTGGGAAGTCAGTTGATTTCCATACACTATGATATACTGTGAACATATAGTTACCTGATAAATCAGCAAAGGAACATGCAAACGTTTGGCATAATGTGAACTAAAATTGAAATCGAAAATGTTAGTGGCCATTTTGCAACAATTAAGAGCATAGCACTTTATCTAGATGAAAACTGGATTCCTAATCTTTGAAATATCTTGAACCGTTAATATTGCTCAGAACTTAAGTAAGCATGCAAACACTTCATTTGTTCATGCTTGGAGTGAAATGTTTTACCTTTCACTGGAGAGGACAAAAACAGGGTGATCTTCATGTTGTTTTATACGAGTGACAAAAATATACCTTGCCTTGTTAGAGGCAAATTCATATTTATAAATATTTTGTCTGTTTTTCCTCCATGAAACATATGCAGTAATCACTTACCAGGAAGGTGAGTTTTTATTGTTTTTAAGGAGAGACACTTTTCCAATTGATCGATATAGGGAACTGTTTGTACTATGTATAACTCATGTATTTGATTGTAGGTTGCAAAGTTTAAAAAGTGATGGTTGATATCTAATATATTTGGAACTGATTCATAAGCAAAACTATTAAAATTATCTTTGAAATGACTTTTGAAGCTAATTTATTAGAAAAAAAATTTTCATTTGGAAGCCTATAGAAGTAATATCTAAATGCCAAGTCATAGATTCAGTACCTTTTTTTGGATGTGTAAAGAGTTTTTTTTCCAGTGACTAAACTGAAGTAATTCCTTTTCATAGAAAGGGTCAGTTAAAAGTCAATATTCATGGATAGATTTTTAGAATTAAAAAAATAAGTATGGAAGATAATGCAAAGACATTGGAATGGTTGTGCGATACAGGAGAAGAAGATTGGAAAAGACCAAACGCATTTATCCACCAACACTTCATCAGTTTTTTAGACATTAGAGCTATCTGGTAACTTCTTTCCTCTTCCTCTTCAGCTAATGAAACAAACACTAGGCAGCTACATTCCACCCCCCCCACCCCCACCCCGGTCATTTCACTTTATGTAAAAACAGTAGCATGCAAACACTTTTTAGTTTTTTTTTAATCCCTCATTCATCACATAAAGCAGAGATTGGTGTGGGATATGTAAGACCATTCTGAGGTCAACGATAGCACAAAGACTCAGCAATATTCCCTCAAATGGCCAGGGTTTTTGCGTGTCATTTTCTGGCAGGAGTGAGTAGGCCTGCTGTATTTCTTTTAACTGCTGGGTGTTTTAAAATAAGTTACAGTGTTTTACACTTAAAAAAGAGAAGAAATATTTCCTTTATTTGTTACTTACTAGTTTAGCATCTAGATTATGGTACAGTATGCTAAAAAGTCATTTGCGTAAAGGCAAATTTTGGTAAAATGTGGACATCAGTCCTGGTGTGTTGATTCATTTTCCATTCCGAGGCAGCACCAAGTGGCCTGTTTTGGAGAGAGCCAAGGAACAACACAAGAGGATGTTGTTTTGAATAGTAAGCCAGTCGTATTTGGTTTTATAGCCTGGTATATTTTGGATTTCAGATGAAATGGAGAAAAAAAATGACAGAAATGGTCCCTATGAATTTATTTTCATGGATACCCTTAATTTCATGGGCATGCCTAACAATGAACTATGTTCTAACTGGAGCTTAGGACTTATTTTAGATATTAGAGCGTAGCTTTATTACAGATGGATTTTATCTTTAAACATTGCATTTTGATCAACTTTGTATATTTATGTGTATTAAAATATTGTGCACTAAATGTTTTGCCCTTGTTTGCTATCATATGGTCAAGGCATTTATCAGCAATATTGTGATTCACTCATGTAAATGGCATGGGTCAGGGAAAATTATTTCCTGCTTTTCTGCCTAATTAAATTTCTGTTTTCCAGTATTACATTAATTTATTTTTTGCTTCCATTTCTGTGTAACAAAAATAGTTACTGTATGTGTGTGGCATTCATATGATTTTGTTGCTAAGAAAACATAGTTTTTATTTAAAATAATCTGTACCTTAGTTTTTTTTAATGTAACCAATTCAAGCACTTTAAGCAATAATGTCAATCTTGTGAAATTTCAATCAGTTTAACACCCTGCCTCTAAAATTGTTGCAAAATAAATAAATAAATAAATAGGTTTCTCTTAGAGAATTTTATCCAGGTAATGTTACACACATGGACTTAACGTCATTTTTGTAAAGTGTGAGTCATCAGTGAGTCTCATGTCCAGGCGATCATTCCAGACTCGATTTCAAAGCAGTGGGAATGTGAAGAACGTTCTGGTCGTCACAAGATAGGAAGGCGGTGCTGCTGTCGGGGTTGGTAAAGTCGGTGTCTGCAGATAATTTACCAATATTTTAAGTGAAAAGATCAACAGAATTAATCCGGAAACCTAGGGAATAGCAAATTGAGAATATCAGTGGAAAAAAAAGAATCAGGGGCAGGTAATTAGACATCACAATGAATTGCTTAGCTGGGACTTTGCATATAAAATCTACCAGTTTTAATTAAAAGATCTGTTCCCCAAATAAAGCGGCTTCCAGCTCTGATAACTGTCAGCATCTAGGAAAGAGTAGGAATGCTGTTCTGGCCCTGATGTGCTGACAGCCCACCTCAGACTTCTTGGTGGTTTCTGAGCTGTGGGGGGTCCCCAGTTGGGGGCATGTCACTTCCTATACTGCCCTGCCAGAGGTGGGACAGGTGCAGGTCCCTGTCCTGGGGTCTCAGATTGTGGCCTCCCAGGGCCAAGACTCAAGCATGCTGTGAATGTGCCTAAGGCTTTTTTTCCCCAAATAGTCTTCAAGGGTCCATGTGTGGGCAGGAGGTTGTCTTCCAAACACAGTTGCCTGGGCCCAATTATGAGAATATAGACCCACAGACCAAGAGCAGGGCAATGTGCTATTAAGTGTCCCAGTTTCCATCCATCTCTCAGGGCAATTCAGCTGAACCTGAGCCGGAACAGAGGCTTGTTGGGAAAGCCACCTGCATTCACCATGAGGGCTATAAGGAGGGAGAGACAGGCCTCCCTTTGATCATCTATCAGGTGGGATTTATAGAGGAGGCCTGTCACCCTCAGCATGACACAATGGGGAATGAGAAATGTTCCCCATTTCTCCAAATTTCCCTCTGTTTTGTATTCGTTTATGCTTAAAACACGTTTAACAGAAGCTGAAAACTTCCATTTCATTGCCTTCTATTTTTATGAAGATAAAAATATTTGCTATCATTTTTTTCCCTGAGGGAAGATTTCAATTGTGAGGCTAATACTAAAGACAAACCACTTAGACTTGCCCAGAGGTGCCCCAGGCAGAGAGGTTTTTAATTAAGAGATTATTGTGTTTGGAGTTGGAGGATAAAAAGGTGTAACAGATAGGACCCTCTTCTAATTTCTTGCTTCAGGGAAAAGAAAAAAAAAAAAGTCTGGGAAAAGAAATTTAAATTGTGGAAATACGTGTGTATGGGGGAATTCATCACAGTTTGGTGTTTGGCCTGCATCTTACCAAGCAGGTAGGCACTGCCTCAAGTGGGCACTGTTCGATAAAGCAGGCTGGTTCCTTTTTTCTTGGATCTGCCTTTTGGGGCCCCATTTTCCTCTCTGTCTGCTCTCAGTGTTGCCCTAGCTTACCTTTTAGCCCCTTCTGGGGATGACACAATTTTTGAAGTAATAGATCTGTTACATTGCAGCAATGGACTTGAGCATCTTGCCTCTTAATTCTCATGTTAAAAGAGCCAGGGTATTGAAGTCTTAACGGTGGGTTTTATGAATCAGATATCTAAACCATCTCTTAACATCATTGCTAAATAGTTAGAGGCAACCAGAGCATGAGTTTTTAAGCTATATGACTAAAAATTGTATTGGTTTACGAATCTGTGTTCCCTTTTATGGTTTCCCTCATGTTTTAATAGTGCTTTGAACAAAGCACATTAGGAGCTTACAAACGAATGAAAAATGACTTCATTTTGGTTATGAGATGCCAGAGTCAGAAGTGACATTAGATTTTATAACGATTACTAATTTCGTGCTCGTTTCATGATGACTCAATAAAATATTAGCAACCTTGGGGGTATCATACTCATATTATAAGTTACACGGATGCCTCTCACTTTTTTCCCTCCCTAAAGTGAGCATCCAGGTCTATGGAATTCCACTGAAATTCTTCATAGAAAGGTTGGATGCTCGCGTTGTGGGTTGAAATCCTGTTTTGTTCCTAACTTCTCATTATAGTATGGGGCTTTCAGAAGGAAACTGAGACTTAGATTTGACTTGGCCAGGAGCAAAATAATTTGATAGTTGAAGCCACCATTTCCCTATATTTAACAAATTCATTTTCCTGTGATCCAACTCAACTATATTTGTATTTCAGAGTCCCTGTTAATTGACCTTGCTTGACATTCTGTGCCTAGACAACTGAAAATAAACACAAGAAAAATTTAAGTGTGAGCCTCTATACCTTCTGCAGCAAGCTAAGTCTCTTTTCTCTAAAGATTGTCTCCAGATTGAGAATTGCTTGTTTCCATGCTAAAGGATAGAAAAATATTTTTAATGACTTGCAAAATTTGTGTGAAGAAGAGACTCGTTCTGTTGACTTCTCTCACATCCCCACCTCCAGAATAAATTGAAAACTCTTTGAAAGAAAGTTACTTCTGCATATTTTTCTATCTTTGCTACCCCAGAGCCCAGGGAGCAAAAATAAGTATAAATTGCTAGCCTGGGTATGTCGTATTTATAGGGTTGTAGAATGAAGAGTCCCCTTCCTGGTGTCCATTGATAGACCTGGTCTTTAAACCGTGTCTTTTGAGGAGTCTGAAGGTTTATGAAGAACAACCTCACCACAGAATCTGGCCTTAGAGGAGAATTTGTACAGCCTATAGAAGGTGAGGGTGTGGATCTCAAGAGTAAGAGGAAGGGAATAAGGTCAGGATCCTTTTAACATAACTGTTTAGTTTTCACTGCAGCACCTGCCATAAGCTGTGCAGTTGCCCTGCAGGGTTAGATGGGACCCCCGGGAATCCCACAGGTGCCTTCAGCTGACTGATGTACAACCTACAGATTCTATGCTTTGTTAATGCCCTGACCTTGATCTCTGGTGGAATTTTAAACTCACTTCAATAGTAGAGTGTAAAAGCTCTACTAGACTTTGAATCACGAGTCCAGGTTCTAGTATGGGCTAGTCACTAGCTGGTGTTATCATCATAGCATGTGGGGGAAGCAAAGGATCAGGAGGCATAAGATCTGAGTTCAAGTCCTGACTGTGGTTTCCTGGTTTGATGATGTTACAGGTCTGTCATCTAAGTCAGATGTTGGACATAATGTTGAGGTTAGGATGCTAATGAGTGGTTTTGGCAAAGGTGCTCTTCAGAGGTCTTCAAGGGAGATAGACACAATTGCCAAAACAATGGGAAGCATAGAATAGCTACTTAAATAATTAAGAAGTTCTTGGGTACTATGCTATATTATTTTGTTTTATCTGATCCCCACAACATCTTCCAGTCATGAAAGATAAAAGACTAAAGAGAAGTGAGAAAAAAAAAGCCGTCCCTGACAGCCAGGAACTAATCCGAAACAGCTATACTTAACATGTCTTAGGAGATGGCTTGGGGCTCACATCTGGGTCATGGTATTTTCTGGTTGGACATAATCTCAGAACACCAACCTCAGACAAGGTCATGCTGTGACCATGATCAAGTGAGATAAAAAGCACGACCACTTTGTATTCTATTTAAGCATAGACAAAAACAAGATCACTGCAAACCACAAAATACCAAACATCTTTCTCTGCTATCAAATCTGGGTCACTACTGCTGCTTTCCCAATGACAGTGTTAGCTTTGCTCTCATCTGTCCTACATGAGATTCGTTAAGACACACGGTCAAAGAATTATTCCCACTTTTTGACAGCACCCAATCCAGGGTGAGCTCTTTTTTCTTGAACCCTCCCCAAGCTTACTAAAGTCCCAATCCTATAAGTTCTTTCTAACATCCTCTTACTGAGATGCCCCATGCTTCCCCACAGTGTGTGGTCTCTGCTGCTGCGAGCAGTAAACATAATTTGTTCAACCACGGTTGTGCTTCTGGTGGTCTGGCCGGAGAATATTGACAGAAGAGTGTGCTGAACTGAGATAAGCCACTTTCTGGGATCAACCTGGATATGCTGTTCTGGTGACCGGAAGGGAGAAGAGCCACCACACACATTCAAGGTTGTCATCAGTGTCCCGACTTATCTAATTGATCTACAGTAACTCCTGCTCAGAAGGGATGGCGGTATTGGGCTGAATGCCAAGGGAAGCTTCTTACAAGTAGCCTTGAATAAGTCTGGACCTCACTTTTTCCTAACCTGTGAAATGAAGTTAGAGAAGGGTTGTGGTGTGTAGAAACTGCTGTAAAACACGATAGGTATATAATGCGATTACAAGCGGGATACAGTAAGACTGACAAGTTTTATTCATTGTTATGGATTCCTGGCACCTCCACACCTACCTTTAGAATTTCTCAGGCTCAGGTATGTCTGCCTCTAGAGCCCTTGAGTTCACTGAGGTGTCAGAAACCCTATTTGAGACAGGGTCTGAAACACAGAAGATGGAACCTGAACATCCGTAGGGATGGTACAAAGTCTATTTCAGGAATTCCAATTCTCTCCAACAGAGAACGTCCCAGTTCTGTCTGGATCTTGTTACATATTCCAAAGATCTTTTTAGAATCATAGATTTGGGGTGGGGTAAGGGGCAGCGAGGGGTGGAGAATGCGGAGGGTCCTAGTTGTGATTGAGGACATAGTGCAGGGTCTATTGCTCGCTAGTGAGAATGGCCTAAAAATACCCCCTGATTTTTCTCAACTGCTGCACACATCTTGCTTTTGTTAGATACATTATTTGTCCATGGGTTTTTGCTAAAAAAGAAACCTAAAAGCTGATAGTAATTATCCTAAATCCAATCCAAGGCTTAAGATAAACAGGCCCTTACCTTTCTGCAAGGTAGGCAATGGAACGAAGGATCCCAGGGTGAAAGAGAAGAAAATGACCTTGAAGACAGAGACTGTACTGTTTTCCTTTGAAGCTTCATGCCTTGAAAAGGTTGAGTGAACACAAATGCGTGACATCAGGCAAGGACTAGAGTGGAGGAACCCCAGTCAGAGGTGTAGAG